TCTGTTGCTTGATCCATAAAATGGAATTATGTGAACTATTTTCCTGTTGAATCGGTTTATAGCCTTTGGGTGGTGGCGATTTCATTTGCAAGACTTTTTGGTGCTCGAATTGGCCACAGAAATATTGCCTGATTTGTTCAACTTGGCCATTTCCTATAATGCATATAAATAATAATCAAATGCATGACTAAATACTTTAGGAATGTATCCTGTTTTGATTTACAAAATAACTTAGACTTGCAACTATTTGGATCCACAACTTGATTTCCAACAACTTCCAATAAATTCAAAATTAATCCCAATGAAAACTTATATATTCTTCTCATTTTACAAATAGGTTTTATGATTTTGGCGCTCATTTATACAAGCTTAGGTTTAACATTAATATTTTTCTCTCCATATCCATTGAACTTCTAGGAAATTCTCTAGGGAATCAAACTTTTGGAGAACTTAATCAATAGTTCAACAATTTTTTTACTGCCCACAGGAAGTTGCCCCCACGTATAAGCACAAACAGCAAGCCGACAACAAATTATGCTGATCTCTTTAAGACCAATAATGTTCTTTGGTCTGATTCCGAAAATCCTTTATTCAAGCCAAGACAACAAAATGTTGACAAAAATGCATTTCCATTCCGATCGATTTTTATCCTACGCATCCGAAGAGAACTTTCAGGTGTGTGGGTTACCCGATGCGATCTCTTTCTTATCCGGTTCGATCGTTTAGTTGCTGATTTGTTGGCCCCATAAAGATGGGTCTTTAAGCCTCCTTGGCATGCACATAATTTGTAGTTTTTAGTCAATGAAAAAATTTGACAAAACGACAAACAACAAAAAGACCAAAAGTTGTCGAAAGTTCGGAAGTTCGATTGAGAGGCTCTTTATTGCTTTTGGATGGGCCCGCCCAAGTCGGTAGAGTTCATAATTCCTGAGCTGCTTGTTTGTTCTTCTTTATTACTGCCTACTGTTGTTCGGGGCTTACCGTATGCACTGGGAAAAAAAAGTTAGTGAGACATTAGTTCTTATGGGCTCAATACTATTAGTATCATATTTTGTAAGAACAATAAATTTTTATTTTAGCAAAATATATAGAATCATTAAATAAAACTAGAGGAATATATTTATGGTCATATTATATATATTCATATAAAAATTATTTGTAAAATCAATAAATATATTGCTTTTAAATATCAACAAGTAGATTTTATTTTTGGTTCACATTTTCTGAGTGTATAGATATTTATTCATTTTTTGTCGCCTGCTTCCGTCGTTCTTCCGCCTTTCAAGTTCTTGTAGCTTACGACGTTTGCTGTTATTCCCACAAAGTCGCTTTTTTATATCTATACTTTTTGTGTGATATTCCTATGAGCGCATTAACTTCATATTGAAGTCGTTGGATCGCTCATCTTTTTCTTCCTCATCCTCCTTAGCTGAATTATTTTATGCGAAATTGTCGTGCTTCTCAGGCTACACATATACATCTTCAAAATATGTATAGGCTTACTCTCTCAACTGCTTCTCAACTTTAGCTTAAATTTTTTGTAGTTTTTGCTTTATATAATATATATTTTTAATTATAGTTTGCGTGCCCCAGGGCTGAGTGGTTTGCTATTTGGGTGAGGGTCATTTCAATACGCCATTGAAGGCAGGGGAAGTCGCTGATTTATGCCTTCAATAAGAGCTTCTTAGAATCATTTAACCAATTTATTTGTTATTGATAAAGATGTTTAAAATATATACTTTAATTCAACTGATCCCATTAAAAGTATATCCTAAAGTAAACCAAAAGTCTAAATTTCATATTCTTATGTTCTTTAAATTTGATCAAATATATTTAGATCAAAATATTTTGTATTTATATAGGGATTACATTTAATCACAATAAATGAATCCAAGTAGAAACAAGAAAGGAAAGCTAACTTCGGGCGGAGCCGAAGTTGAAATACCCTTGCAGAATATTCTGTAAATTATATTCTTCAAAATTATTCATATGATGCATTCTTAATACTCATAAAAAATCCCAACTTCCTAACTTAACAAACACCAAAGTTATGGCATTTCCGATCAATCAGTTATATGGCAGCTATAGGATATAGTCGGCCGATCCTTATGAAATTTGGTGAGTCGGATTGATTGGCCAAATATAAAACCCATAGAAAATCCCAACTTTCTAACTTTACAAACACCAAAGTTATGGCATTTCCGATCAATCAGTTATATGGCAGCTATAGGATATAGTCGGCCGATCCTTATGAAATTTGGTGGGTCGGATTGATTGGCCAAAAATAAAACCCATAGAAAATCCCAACTTCCTAACCTTACAAACACCAATGTTATGGCATTTCCGATCAATCAGTTATATGGCAGCTATAGGATATAGTCGTCCGATCGTTATGAAATTTGGCAGGTCGGATTTTTTAGCCAAAAATAAAACCCATAGAAAATCCCAACTTCCTAACTTTAAAAACACCAAAGATATGGCATTTCCGATCGTTCAGTTATATGGCAGCTATATGATATAGTGGCCCGATCCGGCTCGTTCCGACTTATATACTACCTGCAATAGAAAGACAACTTTTGGGAAAGTTTCAAGCAGATAGCTTTAAAACTGAGAGACTAGTTTGCGTAGAAACGGACGGACGGACAGACGGACAGACGGACATGGCTATATCAACTCAGGAGGTGATCCTGATCAAGAATATATATACTTTATAGGGTCGGAAATGTCTCCTTCACTGCGTTGCAAACTTTTGACTGAAATTATAATACCCTCTGCAAGGGTATAAAAAGGCCTTGTTTTCTGTCAGCCATTGCTAATCGCCCTGCTGGCAAACGAATGACTTACGACACAAACTTGATGCATTCGACCCGAAACACTTAACGGTAACTTCTCCATCGACTTGTTTTCGTGTGACCTTCAACAACAACAACATCAACAAATTCACTTAACCAAAGCTTTTAGCAACAGAAAAAAATCATACAAACACTAAAAGAAGTTCACACAACTCCAAGTGCGGCCATTTACATAATTGTCACACTGATTTCTTACTTCTTGCATTGTTGCCGACTTATGTCTGTGCCATTAACAAACAAAACAAGAAAGGAAAGCTAACTTCGGGTGGAGCCGAAGTTGAAATACCCTTGCAGAAAATTCTGTAAATTATATTCTTCAAAATTATTCATATGATGCATTCTTAATACTCATAAAAACCCCAGCTTCCTAACTTTAAAAACACAAAAGTTATGGAATTTCCGATTGTTCAGTTATATGGCAGCTGTAGGATTTAGTCGGCCGATCCTTATGAAATTCGGTAGCTCTGATTGATTGGCCAAAAATAAAACCCATAGAAAATCCTAACTTCCTAACTTTACAAACACCAAAGTTATGGCATTTCCTATCGTTCAGTTATATGGCAGCTATAGGATATAGTCGGCCGATCCCGTTCCGACATATATACTGCGTGCAAAGGAAAGAAGGGTGTGTGCAAAGTTTCAATCCGATAGCTTTAAAACTGAGAGACTAGTTTGCGTAGAAACAGACAGACGGACAGACGGACATGGCTATATCAACTCAGGAGGTGATCCTGATCAAGAATATATATACTTTATAGGGTCGGAGATGTCTCCTTCACTGCGTTGCACACTTTTGACCAAAATTATAATACCCTCTGCAAGGGTATAAATATATATGTATATAAAAAAGAAGCAGCCAACATTTCAATTTGTTTTTGTTGTGCTCTTCAAAATGTAATTAACCTCAAGTTTTTTGTTGGAATTTTTTTCGGCTCTTTGGTTTGTTTGTATATTTTTTTTTCTTTTTTTTGCGTCTTTTTTAGAACAACGACAACGTCAACGTCGAGTAATTAAGCAAAGCTAAAAGTTCATGTTAATTGTCCCAGGCACTCAACGTGCGAGAGGAAAAGAGAGGTCTGGATGGAAAGATAGAAAAAGGGGGAGGGGGGCACACAATTTTGCCCCCCAAAAGGTCAAAGACTAAAAGAATTGTCAACCGTGGACAGGTCGACGGAGCGAATGAGCAGCGCAGAGTGCTGATGGCCATAGGGGAACTGAAGAAAGAAATACATAGAGAAAGAGTGTATACATATTTAAATTAATTTTCTGTATCATTTTTTTCTTTGAAAATTGTTATTATTTAAATCAAATTAAAAAAATATATATATTTTGGATGTCTATAGATTTTAAAATAAAATTGCTAAGTCAAACCTATTTGAAACTACATTTAACTACCAATTACATACAAAAAATGTGAATAAAAAAACTATTTTCAGACCCCTTTCTAAAAAAAAATGTTAAGTATTAGCAATAATTCAAAATTTAATCAGATTTTATTAATATAATCTCATTAACAAAGAATTGTTTAACAATATAAAGGGTTTTTTATTTAGTCCTTCTGTTTTGTGCAAGTGTCGTTAGAAAAGTGGAAGTACTCCAAAATACTAGTACGAGAAGAACCACTAGTAAAGGGTTAAAGAGTGGTTTGTTTTTCCATTTTTTTCCAGTTTTTTTTTTGGCTAATGTTGACTCATTGAAGAGGAGTCTTTGCTTATTCGGCTTCCAGTTGGCCGAGCTCAGCGGAAGCAACGAACGACAACTTGTTTTTGCATTGTTGTTCTGCGTTGAGTTTTTCCTTTTTGGTTGGTTTGTTTTTATTTTTTCATTATTATTATTTTGGCAAAACACCGTTAGATTGTGCGAACACACGGTGTGAATGATACTTTAATTACACAAAAAGGCGATAGAGGCATAGTATTATGCTAATGCAAATCAAGATAATACAAGTCTACTCACACCCTGGAGAAACGCAGTTTTACTTTGGTTTCAAAATATTCGTTTTTAGGATTTATGCAAACACAATAGATTGTTTTTTAGTTTATTTTGCTGTTCTCTCTTATATTTGTTACAATTTAATATTCTGTTAATTTCATGTTGTTTCTCTAAATAAATAGCTTAAAACAAAAAAAAAAAAATTTTGTTTACACCACCAAAATTGATGGTTTTGCTTTGCAACCTCAACTTTGAAAATTTAATAGTTTCAAAATGAATTAATTGGCTATGGCATCATGTCAATCTAATTATTTTAGCCCAAACCTTATCGCAGCTGTATTTATAAATATTAATTTAATCCATTATTCCATTGAAATATCTAAACGCGTTTCGCTTGTCCCGAAGTTACACCGCTCCGAAGAAAACGTTTTAAACTCATTAGGCCTAAAGAAAAATGAAAATGGGAAATTAATACAGGCAGACTAAAGAATAGCCGTTAGTTTGTTAGTAGCTTTTCTTTGTTTTTCGTGATGGGTTAATATGGATGGACAAAGCGCCGACTTTTTTGGAAGGTGTTATCAACACATTCAAGACATCGAAAGTATTTAAAAGCGTATTTGTCTCATCACCGTTTAACAGAGTTTGATATTTAAAAATCAAGTGGCTACTGAAAAATTCAACAGCGATCCCTTCCCTCCCCATTTGGTGTTTCTTTTTTAATGGAAAATCAAACGTTTGCGCCAGTAGCGACAACAAAGTAGAGTGTCCCATCCGTGTTTACATTAATTTTCAATCAACTCGATTTGCATTACATATGTATGAGGCAACCAGATCTGGAGGAGCTGATGATACCGCAACCTGAGATAGCGCAAAAAACTGAAACAATTCATTGGCGTAAATGAGATACCCTACAATAACATTCACAAAAATTCAAAAATTATACAACAACAAATATGAATAATTATTTGTAATATAAGAAGTTCGTTGATATTGAAGAATATTTAATGAAGTAAATATTTTTAGAAGTAAATAAATATGTATTGGTTTGGGTGACCTGTAAACAAATTCACAAATCGAAGTTTTTTAATCCATCAGTTTAGCAAGTAAATTATTAAGTTTAAAAAATGTTTAGGCTGTTAGGTATCTAATAAAAATACAAATAATTGGAAAATATTATAATTTTACTAAAAACGAATAACTATTGAAAATATACAATAGATTTTCATGTTTACACAATGGCAACTAATGAAATATTAATAGCTAATTCTGTTTGAACTGATTAACCATTAAAAGAAATTTCCCCAGCTAAAACCAAAACCGCTTTGTCACAAAGCTTATAATATATTGAACATAGCCCCAGAGCCAATATGTTCGGGCAATTTATGGACTGCCACCAGACTGAGGATATTAAATAGGAGAAAATAAAATCAATGACTTTGGAGGGGGAAGAATCGGATCAGAAGGCTGGGGATCGGTGATCGGTGATCGACGATCATACACACCAGTTCCATCAAAAGCCAAGAGCGACAGCAGCATCAGCGCACAAGTCGGCAATTAATCAGCGAAATTAGTTTTTATGCATTTTAAATGATTTTATAGTTTAACTTTGGCTGCGCGGCACCGTTAGAGTATCGTGAATATGGCCAGAAGACTGCAAGCCCCATCTGCAGTCCCCCTACCCACAATCTCAACCAGCTGCCTTTTAGTGCCTGCAATCTGTTTCGGAGTCTGCAATCAAATTTTCGCTTTCATGCCATTTGGCCAGAATATAACAAACACAAAACCTAATGGGATACAAAAAAAGATATAAAACAACGAAAAAATCTCACAAAATGATTTTACTCCGCAAGTTGATCAAACATAAATTTAATAAAAGGCTTTCGCCCTAATGTGGACCTGCAACAGCTGCAATGGGGCAAAAGCAACTCGACGGGTTTGATATCTTTTATTTGGGAGGTATCACCCAGACATATAAAGTTATAAAAACCTAAAAAAGCCCTCCTAAACTGTTAGGTGTACATGGAAAATTAGTCAAGTAGGACTTGTAAATAATTATAGTTGGGTTTTTTTTACAAATAACTTAACTGTGGAATTCTGAAAAAAAACTATTTTTAATATTGATTTAAATTATAATTGATCAAATTATTATATTATCTCAAAAATTTTAAGTAGGTATTTTTAAATTTAAATTTTAACTCATATTTTATTATCGAGGTGACCAACATACTCACAATTTCGAAGACAAGTTTCCAGGGTGCACAGATGCACTTACGGCCACAGCTAATATTAATGGGGTGTGGCGTTTTGGCCAGTGTAAATAAATTAAAGAGCAGCCGCAAAACAAAAGCACTGATCGGCGAGCGAAAGAGACGGCAGAAGATAACAAGAAAGAGAGGGAGGGAGTGAGATGCGGCGGCATTTTGATTGCATTTCATTTGTGGCAGCATGCAGCAGAAAGTAATAAAAAAGAAACAAAAATCCAACCAAGAGATTCTGACTCCTTTTGGCCTTTGTTTGCTTTGCAAATTGCGCTCAAGTGCGCCTCTGAGATAATCAGTGCAAATTCTGGCCCCAAAAGGGGGATATCAAAGGGGGGTTCCGGAGCTTTATGATATCTTATCTGTGGGTAATCGGAGCAGCTGCTCCTGCATCTGCATCTGCGCGTGTTTGTGTGTGTCATTCCTTGAGCAAATAATGGCAACAATTATTCCAGCAAATGCAGCCAACCCAAGACATTGGGAGACTCCTCTTTTACACTAGCAAAAATATTGTCAAATTATAGCCTAATTTAACCCTAATTTGTACAACTTAATTGTATCTCTTATGGTCCTACATTTTTTGGCGAAATTAAAAACTAAGGATTTAAAATACTTCTAGTAAAATTCCTGTTCAAATTATTTCATATTTTTGTTTGAGGAAATGACACTTTCGTTATCATATCATATATTACCTTATTTTGAGTAAAAAATGATATAGACAATCAAATCGATCCTGCATTTCAGGACGATTTTCTTGCAGTGCACCACATTTTCAACTCCTTGCCGCCGTTGATTCCTTTTTGGGTGATTATGCAATTTAGCAGCTTGTAAGTGATTGTTTGTGGGGCGTTGTTTGCCCGCACCACCGCTTTACCGCACCACTGCACCACCGCAGTGGTTTGCTGCAGTTGCAAGGTGCAACATGAGAGCAACTGGAGGCAGGCAGCTGTGCGCTCGCCACAAATTGTTGTCCGCACATTTTCCTCCTCTTTCGGCATTATTTCTGCACTTTGCTCTGCTTTTTTCTGCACTTTATTTTATTCGGCATTTTTTTTTTGTGCGGCGCTGATTGTTACAATTTTTGTGTGTGCGCGGCTTTCAAATTAAAACGCAGAACATTTTTGGCCATTATTCTTCCTTTTTTGCGGATTTTTTTCAGGCACTTTGTGAGTTGAAAGTAAAGAGGATATTTCCATGGGGTTGATGTTGGGTTTTTGGAAGACGACGTTTTAAATATCCTTTAAAAAACAAAGGTATTTATTTTAATTTAATAAAATCAAATGTAAAGTTTGCCTTATTAATTATAGAATGTTTTAATAATAAATTTTATAAAAATGTTCTTTTGTTAATATAAGTTATCACCTGTAAAGGTACTTTAAAATGTTATATACATACAACAACATAAATTTATTATTTGAAATAACGTAGATAAATAATATTTTATTAGTATTAAAAGTTATGATTGTTACTCTTTCTAGCCATTTAATTGGCTGATTTACATATAAGTAAAATATATGTTATATAAAAAAAAAGAGAAGTATTAATAAGGAATATAAATTTAATTTGTATAAATATATATTTTAATTAATAATATTTATGTATATTTTTAAGCAGTTTCAATATTCTATACACCAGTTTATTTCGTTCAGAGATATTTTATATATAAATCTTAAGGAAAGAGTATTAGGCGCTGTTATGAACTTAAAGACGAACACATTGCCAACCAGCTTGAGGATGATAAGTTTGGATTGGGATTGAGGTTCAGGGATCGGGAATGGGATGAGGATCGAGTGGATGACGTTGACGACGATGACGAAGACGATGCCAAACTGCAGCGCTTTTGGTTTTTGGCATTTGCTGTTGTTTTTGTTGTTAACAAACCACACGTAAGCCAAATAAAGTAAATTGCGGCAAATACAAATTGAAAACGGTCTGACAAATGAAAGTCAGGAACAGCTGCCACTGCGATAGGGAGAGAGCGGGACGGGGACAGGGGAGCAAGCGAGAGGGAGAGGGAAACAATCATTTCAAGGTCAGGCTAAAGCGCCCGGCCAGGAGATTCGTTGAACCGACTTTCGACAAATTGTGACAACGCCCATGCGACAAAAGCCACTCCAAAAATATTAACAGTGCACAGGGGGAAAAAATATAACATTATAATATATATATTTAATATAATATTACATGTATATATATTTACATGTAGATATACATATATACAAAAAGCATGCAGAATCTTACTCAAACTCATTGCCAAATTTGTAATAAATTTTTATGAAATACAAAATAAATGCAATAAAAAACCCTACCATTTGCTACATTAGCCCACTTTTGCACAACTGTGCTTCAAATTGTTTGCACTTTGTGTTAAATTATTATGATTTTTTCCTCTTTCGCATTTCTTTTTCCTGCCACACAGTGACCGCAAATTAATTACGTTCAATTGAGCAGACAAGTTGGACACGCCCATTTTGGTGCCGCCCCCTTTTGCGGCTGGTTTGCGAGGCAGAATACTTTTAGTCCTTGTCACAGTTGTGAAACCAACCTATTTAATTACGGTTTAATAGTTGGATGAGGTAGAAAAATCTGATATTGAATTTAATAAACAAAATAATAATCATTTAAAATCAAAGTGCCATAAGAAGGGTTGAATGTATTTCTGTAAGTCATCATTTGTTGCAACACAAGGTCTTTAAAGCGTACAAAATATTTTATAATTATTTCACTTTTACAATGCCACAACATCTGGAAAGAATATTATGGGTAGTATTTTAAAGGCTTAAAAAACAAAGAGGGGGTGTTGCCCATTAATCATATGACAAACGTTTTTCTTTGTTCACTCGCTTCGCGCATCGAAGCAATTCTTTTTCGAAAATTTATGCATATTGCGAGTCGAATCTGACAACGGTCCCAAAATCCAGACAAGGCCAACCTCGATCATCCTTTGGGAGATCGAGAAATGGAGAGTGGGCGGGGGTGGCGAAATGCAGCCACTGAATCATTTGGAAACCAAAAACCCCGCAAAAGTAAGCCACAAATTAAAAGCATGCAAAACGAGAGGAAAAAAACCATAGGAAGCCAATTAAAATCTGGGTCTGATATATGACAGTTTATTCCTCAAATTAACTGAAGGGGATTAAAGTTCAAGTAATTCTTACATACTATAGAAATAATGAATTTTTAAAAATGTTGTCTTCAAAAACCTGGAAAATATATATTTATTAAGCCCCAAAAAACTTAATGCCATAGCGATACATGTTCATAAATAGTTTAGACTTAAAAAAAAAAGTATATTAATTATATAACAAGAAAGGAAAGCTAACTTCGGGCGGAGCCGAAGTTGATATACCCTTGCAGAATATTTTATAAATTATATTGTCCAAAATTATTCATATGATGTATTCTTAATACTCATAAAATGTCCCAACTTCCTAACTTTAAAAACACCAAAGTTATGTCATTTCCAATCGTTCAGTTATATGGCAGCTATAAGATATAGTCGGCCGATCCTTATGAAATTTGGTAGGTCGGATTGATTAGCCAATAAAACCCATAGAAAATCCCAACTTCCTAACTTTAAAAACACCAAAGTTATGGCTTTTCCGATCAATCAGTTATATGGCGGCTATAGGATATAGTCGTCCGATCCTTATGAAATTTGGTAGGTCGGATTGATTAGCCAAAAATAAAACCCATAGAAAATCCCAACTTCCTAACTTTAAAAACACCAAAGTTATGGCTTTTCCGATCGTTCAGTTATATGGCAGCTATATGATATAGTGGCCCGATCCGGCTCGTTCCGACTTATATACTACCTGCAATAGAAATACAACTTTTGGGAAAGTTTCAAGCAGATAGCTTTAAAACTGAGGGACTAGTTTGCGTAGAAACGGACGGACAGACGGACAGACGGACGGACAGACGGACATGGCTAGATCGACTCTTCTGGTGATGCTGATCAAGAATATATATACTTTATAGGGTCGGAAATGTCTCCTTCACTGCGTTGCAAACTTTTGACTGAAATTATAATACCCTCTGCAAGGGTATAAAAATAATAAAAAAAATATTTTACAGGAATCTGGGATGTATATTTTTATTTTTGACTAGCCCTACAAAGAAAGAGTCATAAAATAAACAAAATACAAGCTTTTCCACAGAACCGAAAAAAAAGATATATTCGATTATGCTTGGCATTTATTATTAGCTAGGGTTCATTTATCGTTGACTTTTTCCAGCTGCTTTCTATGCAACATATTGAACCGCACCATGTTGCATCTGGGCATAATAATTGGGTATATATACACGCGCCTGTATAAATATATTTAGATGGCCATAAGGAATGTCTGGCGATATTTCATCATTTTGTGGCCGACTGGGCGCTGCCGCAGGTCTTTGGCTTTTAAAATTTGTGCAGTTTCGGGGGCCTAACATCATGGGAGAGTTCTAGCAGCGAATGCTACACATAATTTTGCATAGTTTTATTGCAGAACGAGGAATGTTCCACTCGTTACCCGAACACCATCAGAACACCAGACTTGCAGAGTGGATCAGAGTCGAGTGCTCGACATTTATATGCGCATCACTTAGTCGTACTTCTTTTACCATGAGCGGAATTCATAAAAGGCAAATTCTCCTCACTATATAGGTATATACGCCTGCCACATATATATACATATATACTGATGGGAAAAAGTCGCTGAATTAGTTGGAATATTCTGTGAGTAACTCTCGCGATCGCGGGGATCGTGTCTATGACATAGGAAAATGCCTCGAAAATGCCTCTTAAATGCAACATTTTCATGCGGTAATTGCAAAGCACTATGGCAACAAGAAAAAAATTTTATACATATAAAAAAACATCAGCAACAACAAAAGAAAAAAAAAAAGAAAAACGAAGAAAAACAAAAGCGGAAGCTTTGGCAATGATCATGCAAACTGCTCATTCATAGGATAATTATTCCATGAGTTCATTGCGGTGGCGTCGGTGGGTGAGCAATTGTTTTTTGTGGTGGTTTGGTTGCTGACGGTGTGGCACCTTCTGAGTGGGGTATTCTCTCCCCACAAACACACTCTAGTTAAACTATATAGTATATATGTTTCGCTAGCCCAATGTCGTGGGAGCTGACTCGACAGCCAACTCGGCTGCGATGCATTTTTAATGTTTTCATCGCATTAAGTGCATATCTAATTTAAGGCACTCGTTATATAGGCTAGGCTTTTATACATCAGTCTCGTAAGTTCAATTTTCAGCATTGTAATCACTTAAGAATTTCCTGATGAATGTCGCAAGATTAGGTAGCAATTTGTTTGTTTTCGAGGAATATTTTTATAAATTCAAGCCTAATTAAGGCCAGAGGTTCATCTGAAAAGAAAGATTTTTAAAAACTAAATAATTAAAACAATTGTGTAATTAAGACTATTAAATTCTGGTAACTATAACAAATAATTCAAAATATTAATTCTTTTGTTACTTCGTTATTTTAAGCATACAAGAATTTAACAATTAAGGCTTTGTTCCCCAAATTTCTCTGACGACCTTGTCGTGGGACTGGCCAACATCTGGTCCAGAAATATAGCACGCCCACACATATTTGGGCATGTCTGACCAGTTTTACCATATACCTATCAAGATATGTATATCTGAGGTGCTTGTATATATCCCGAAAAAATCAGAAAATTCTTTGGGTATGACAATGACTGAAGTGAAGTTCCACTGGACTGTCGACTGTTCCACTTATGTACATATATACACACATATTATACATCAATTCTACACTGAAAACAATGTTTGATAACATTCTTCCAATTCGTAAGCAATAACACAAAAAGTAATCATAATAAAGAGCACTTCTCATCGAACTTTATATTGCAAGAATATAAATAATAATGAATATAAATATAAATAATATTTATAAAACAGCACTGCCCCTTCATGAGAATTAAAAACATTATATTTTCTCAGTGTCGCAATCTTCGTGTCTTGCTTTGAACAACATTTTTTGTTTACTTTGTGTTGACTTAACAAATTTTAATGTATATATACAAATATATCCACCTTATACATATATATTTATATGTATATATGTACACATATATATATATATATTTGCCATCTTCTCCTTTCGCTGAAAACGGTAAAAAAGTAAATTTGATTCATATAAAAGCAACAGACGTATTTGCTTGTTGACTCGTTTTATTTTTACGATTCCTGCTTTCGTTGTTCTTTTGTTGGTTT